AGCAAAAGGTTGGAGTTCTCTTCTGAAATAGTCCCAAGTACCTCAGAAGGTCTGTCAGAGAGGTGTTTCATTGCTGTTCGGAGAAGGCACCAGAAGCAAGGATGGTCTTTCTAGCTACTGTTTTTCTGTATTAACAAGTATCCTGGTTTTGACCAGGGTTGAGTTAATTTTCTTCCCAGTAGCTGGCATAGTGCTGTGTTTTGGATTTAGGATGAGTATAATGTTGGAAACACAGCAACGCTTGGGGTTGTTGCAGAGAGCCAAGGACTTCACTCCTCATACAGCCCAGCCAGCGAGGGGCTGAGGGGGGGCAGGGATAGAACCCACACAGCTGGCCCACACTGGCCAAAGGGATGTCCCATAGCACGTGGCGTCATGCCCAGCAAGAAAAGCTTGGGTAGAGGAGGAAGAGGGGATGTTGGGAGTGACAGTATCTGTCTAAAAAGAAACTGTTAAGCGTGATAGGCTATGCTGCCCTGGGAGTTGCCAAACGCTTGTCTGCTGATGGAAAGCAGAGAATGCATACCTTGTTTCACTTTGCTTCTCTGTGCTGTTTTGGTTTACCTAGTAAACTGTCTTTACCTCAACCCACTACCGTAGCATTTTACATTCCCAATTCTCTTCCTAACCCACTCAGGGAAGGCAACTGGCTGTGTGTGAGCTGCCTGCCACATTAAACCACCAGATGTGAGCATCAGAAGCAGAGTATTAGGGCAGGCATTCTCCATCCAAGACTCTCCTGCACCTGGAGCATGAGCATACATTTCAGCCAGAGAAGGTTAGAAGATTACGTGCATGCCTCAAACAGAGAAGATTACAATTTAAACAAGACAACATGCAAAGCTTCCTGCTGGAGTATACACTGACCCACCTGCAGAGAGATAACATCAAGAAAATGCAGGCAACAATCTCCTCCTGCACAAGCTACACCCAGGTAAAATTAATTAGTCTAGATTCCCTTCTAATCTCTGTTGTTACACATGGGCTCTGTTTTACAAATTAAAAATCTATTTTCAAAAGCCTCAATTTAACTGAGTGCTGTTTCAAAAAGGACTTGAAATCAAATGTACATCCTGTTCAATCCACCAGTCCTAAAACTTCCTGTTCATGACAGCATGGTATCTCCTGGCCAAAACAACAATAAAAAAAAACCAACAAGTGTTTGGAGAAAATTGGTTAATTTAGAATAAATGTATCTTGGCTTTTACCTAGCAAGTCAGATGGCACTAAAATAATGCATTGCAAAGGAGATGTATAAGCTCTTAAATTTTGTTACTATTACAGACATTTAGTTATAGAAGGTACACAGAATTATCCTAATTATTTAAAACTGTGCACACAAATTTAAAATTAATAGACAAATAGAGTAGTATTTGCATCACACATTTTAACAGCCTGCTGAGCACTAGAAGTACAGTGCTCACTCCAGTGGCATACTACATACGTGTCTTTGCAGAACATATATTCTAGCAGAATATACACATGCAGAACACATATTCTAGCAGAGGAACACTAAGACAAGAAGTAGTCCTCACCAAATGTTAATATGTATTCTCCCAGCTTTTCTGTTCCCACTCTACATGTTTCAACAGCTTAGGAATCCAACCTTGCTATTTCCCAAACTTACTTAGACCACGAAGATTAGCATTCCAGGAAAAGCCAGCATCAAATCCGCTCAACACGGCAGCAATGGTCTGAACAGACACGTAAGAGAGGCTCAGTGTTAACAGCTATGTTATGAATACTAACAAAAGCACAGGCAAGTCCTTTAAAAGAAAAGGTAAAGCATTTAACTAACTCTTCTTTGGTGCAGTCACACCTATCAAAGAACAAATATTGCCTCCACTGAACTCTAATGGAAAGTAATGGAACAGAAATAGAATAAAAACATTTCTCATCTGTTATCTCAAGGAAAGAAAAAGCACACATCATACAAGAAATAGCTACCAAATGCTTATTAGTCTGGAACCACTCAAACATACTTCTTTTGGAAATGCCATGAAAACTACAGAACACTTTTGTGACATCTTGGCATTCAGCTGTACAAGTATCACTGGTGCTCATCTGTTACATGATTCTATAAATAAAACAATAGAACCACAGAATGGCTTGGGTTGGAATGGACCCCAAGGATCACCAAACCATTAGGAATCCATTATGTTTCATCCAACTCAAATCAAGCAGTGAAAGCCTGAACAGTTTTAATACCAATTTTCCATGTTGTCTCAGTAAGATGTCAAAAGACTTCTTCCTGTTACAGCCGTTGCAACTACCATTTTCATTAACAGCACTAACAACAGCAAAAACGTTTGCCCTACTGTAGCTAGAAAGCATTTTGTCTGTTTAGAACTTAAATTCTGTAACCCAATTTAAGGCACAAAAAAACCACAAAAGGCGGTTGGTTTGATAGGTTACTGGTGGTGTAGAAAATACAGGAGGGGGTAGCGGAAGTGAGATGAAAAAGAGAACATACTGGTAGTCATCTGCATTCTGAGAGCTGACAGCACTGAGTATAGGATCTTTAAGGGTAAGAGCCTAAGCACTTCAAAAATCTGCCAGAAAACAGTGACACAATGAGAACTATAGTAAAAAGACAATTCTTCAGCTTCTCTGTTTGTTGCTTTTAAGAAGCCAATTGGTTGTACCCAAAAGCCTAGAAGAGTTCTCTGTCAGGTTAAAAGCCGTAATTGACGTTACAGACAGCTGTGAACATGCCAAAGTCTTTGCTTACAGGAACACCACAAATATTTTGAGCAGTGTTCCAAAAGCATTCTTACACAGTACTTTATGCATTACACCACAAGAAAAATTATAAGAGCTCCCACTGCACAACTGAAACTGACCAATCTTTCAGTTTCGCTCCACTGAGTGCTACTGAGACCAGAAGGAACACTTGAATGAAGAAGAGCCAGAAGCCTTCCTCTCTCAGTCAGGTGCTCCAAAGGTTCTCCCTGGTCAAAGAACTACTGTATTGTAATTACCTGCCGTCCATTTTTAGCTGTGAAGGGTACAGGTGTTTTTACTCACATTTTTTTTCTGCTCAGTAGTTACAGAATCATGGAGGCTGGGAGGGAGAAGGTAAAATCATTCTTCCAATAAACAGAAAACTGGGACTCAAAACCAAGACAGGAGGGAACAAAAACAGTGCTTTGACCTGTTCCACCCGAATGCTCTGACCACTAGGCTGCCATAAAACAACTTCACCTGCAGTTTCTTTTGAAGCTAGGGGCTCCTTCTTTCTGTTGAGGGCTCACTGCTTCAGATTTCAAGCAGGAGGTACCTGACGTGAAGTATCTCCCCAGTGAGATGCCTACAGGAGTCCACGAACAACCATCTTAACAGTGTTTCCCACTGGGAGCAGCTCTGCTACTTAGAGGAGCACTGACATTTCTGGAAGTGCTGTGCAGGCAGGCCAGCCAAATAACAGCAGTTGCATACATTTTATTATCGTGTACTGAAAATTGACAGTTGCACAGTGCCGTATGAATCAGGACGCTGTCATAAAGCCAACTTACAGATGACAAACAGACATGCCTTTGAGGTTGTTGGTGAATTAGATTTCTGGTCTTAAAGCACAATCGCTGTAGTTTGCAGGCAGTAACCTTCTGGCTGACCTCCCGATGTTTACTCTCCTCCCCAGTAACTGCAGTTTTCTAGGCAAATAATTTCCAGACATTCAGAATCACCAAACAACATGAAATACCTTTTCAAAACAAGTATTTTCCCCTTACAACTTTCCTTACTGGGAAAAATGATACTTTCCTAGCATCTCATCCACCGAAAGTGTGACTTTTCTGCACCTGCAATGAGTCTGCTAAAACTCGCTCCAAGTTTTAAGCTGAGCCATTCCCTGCACTGCACTTTCAACAGGGCAGCAGCCTCCAGCCCTTCAGCAGAGAGAGTGTAAACTAGAAAGCGGCTATTACAATCCTTCAAAACAAGTGTCTGAACCACTTCAGAAGGCTAAAAAAAAGCTTTCTGGTAAGTATCACTGTCATCCCTTTAAGATAGAGGGGTAGTATTTTTTAAGCAGGTAATCAAAGTCATATTAAGCACAAGTCTCCTGCACAGCCACAGAGCAGATAACCTTTTCGTCCTTTGACTTCCAAGTTCATTTCCAAGACAAATCTTGTCAAACGCATCACAAGAATACCTTCACACTCGTGCCAATTTCGAGCGTCCCAAGAAGGACAGTCTTTCTTTAGAGATCCCACTCAAGCCTGTCAAAAAAAGCTTCCCCATACCCTCACAAAGAGCACGCCACTTCGTTTAGACAACCAACCGCTTGCAGCAGGTGCAGCTCCCGGGGGCTCCGCTCTCAGCACAGTGAGCACGGAGCTTCGCTCACACACAGCATCAGCCGCGGGGCAGCCGACCTCAGGCACGAAGCCGCATTTCTCACGTGCGCGCCTCACAACAGCATCGCCCAGCTCCCTCCGCCACACGCAGTTTCGCACGGCAGCGGCACTTGTGCGGAAGGGCAGCGCGCAGCGGGACCGCCGCCGCTCCGCAGGACAAAGCGCGGCGTGACGCGGGCTCTCCACCTCCGCCTCAGCCACACGGCAGCTCGCCGCGAGCGCGGCCGTGCCGCCAGGCGCCCAAAGAACCGCAGCCCGCCCCGCCCGAGCCCCGCGCCGCGCTCGCAGCGGTTTCCGGGGCCGCTCGGGAGACGCGCCGCCGCCCCGCACACAGCGCTGCGCTCGGAGCCCCGCCCGCCTCCGAGGCGGCCTCACCGCGCTCCGCAGAGCCGCGCCCGCCGCGCAGATCGGGGCCCGATCCCTCCCGCTGCCGCCCGCCTCGTTCACCCGCCGCCGCCCCGGCCACGCGAGGTCCCGGCGAGAACCGCTAACCTACAAACTCCCGGCGCGGCCGTCGCTGCCCCGCGGCGCCTAGCAACCGCCGCCTCGCCTGCCCGCGGCGCAGCCCGCGCCCCCGCGATCCATTGAAGAGCCGCCGCCCCGCCTCCCGCGGCGGCCCGCCCCCGCCCCCACCCTGCCCGCCGCACTTCCGGGGGCGCCACATAAGTCCCGAGCGGAGGGGCGGCGGCGCCGCCGTCGCTGCCGAGCGAGCGGGAGAAGGCTGTGGATGCGCTGGTACCTCTGCAGGAGCGGGTGCGTACCTGCGGCGCTGCGCTGCGCTTAGCGTGACGCTGACCTCGCTGCGGATCCCGAAGATAGGGGGTGCGAATCAATAGTAAAGAGCGGGACGGGGGGGAGGAAAAAGATCGCGTCGGTGCCGCTTCGCGCATGCGCGAGCCTCGCCAGGTGGAGCCGTTCGGCGGGTAGTGACTGCTCTGAGCTCCCAGCGTGCTTTGCGCGGGCTGCGCTGCCGCCATTGACGGCCGGGGAGCGGCGCAGTGCACCATGGGGGCTGTAGTCCTAGCGGGGGGGCGTGGGAGCGGCTCCTTCCTCGCTTGAGGCGCTCCTGGGGGCCTTATAGCAAGCGTGCCCTGGGGCGGCAGAAGTCTGTTACCTCTCGGGGAGGGTTTTGGTTCTGAGGAGATCATACAAGGCTATCCGGAGAATTCCTGCTTCTGGTGGGAAGTACTGTGCGGTCAGGGTGAAAACAGCTTTGATTTAGGGTTGTTTAGGCATGCATCAGTGCAGGTTAGGGGCTGACCTGCTGGAAGAGAGCTCTGCAAACAAGGATTTTGAGATCTTAGTGGACAACGGGTCGGCCATGAGCCAGCAGCGTGCCCTTGTGGCCAAGAGTGCCGATGTATTCTGGGGTTAATCACGGAGAGAGCAGCCAGCAGGTCGAGGGAGGTGATCCTTTCTCACTGCTGTGCCCTGGTGAGGCCACATTTGGAATACGGTGTCCAGTTCTGGGCTCCTGCCTTCAAGAATAAGGGGAAACTTCTGGACAGAGTCCAGCAGAGGGATGGATGATGAAGGGTCTGGAGCATCTCCCTTCTGAGGAAAGGCTGAGGGACCTGGGACTGTTCAGTCTGGACAAAATTGAGAGAGGATCTTATCGATGCTTATAAATATCTGAAGAGTGAGGTCAAATGAATGGGGCTGGGCTCTTTTCAGTGGCATACAGAGGCAGGACAAGGAGCGACGAGCACAAACTGCAACACAGGAAGTTCCATACAGATGAGGAAGAACTTTACCTACCGTGAGGGTTCAGGGCCTTGGAACAGGCTGCCCAGGGAGGTCATGCATACTTCTTCTCTGAAGATATTTAGAATCTGCCTGTTTTATACAATCTACTGGAGGGAACCTGCTTTAGTAGATGGTTGGACTAGGTGATCACCAGAAGTCCCTTCCAGCCCCATATGATCCTGTGATTCAGGAAAAGAGGGAAAAGAAACAAAAACGTTCCTGACAAAACATTTCATTTACAGGATCTCAGAATCTAATTGCAGTTTGTGTGGGGATGGAAGATGGGCATTAAAAGGCGAAATAGTGAAGTATTAATAGCCGCGGCTGTTTTGGCAAAGATGCTAACACAAGAGCAGCCCTGCTTATAGGGAAGTATCAGCCTCTTCCTTCACTGTAAAGCCATACATCCCTTCCCTACTTAAAAGTACTGAGGACTGATGACTCATTATATAATTAATTCATTTGCATAGAGTACTAGTTATGGTATGAACACTGATAGAGGTACTGTGTAAATTATCTGTGGTAATGGTTTATTCTAAAATAACCGAAACAGAAGGTTGTGTAACTTGTTATTTTCAGCTTTTTGTTTTGTTTTGTTTAGACCAAATGCACAGACCTAAAAATGAGTGGGGACATAGCAATCTGAATATGCCGGAAGGAAATTCACTTAATGCTTTCCTTCTAGGCAGGAGTCCAGCAGCCTGCTGAAGCACTTAAATTTGCTGGTTCAGGATTACACGCAATACTCTAAATGCTTGTGAATGCTTCACAAGATACATAACGTGTTCTTTCTTCATCAGATTATGTGCACTCTGCCAAATTTTTATAACAGAAACTGACATTGCAGGAATGAAGTCAAAACTTCTGTTCAGATAAAGTATAAGCCACACTGCTTCTCAAATAGATCTTACTGCTGCACAACTTTATGTTTCTAGAACCTATAACCATATATTACATAGGGAACTGTCACTGTCTCAAGCAAGACGTGTGTGATGAGCAGAAGTTGCTGAAAGAATAAAGATTGTTCTGGAACATCTTTTCATGCAGCGTATGAAAATCTGTGTCCATCCAAAATGGACCAGTATCTCTGCAATTACATAAGAAATCATACCCAGCCACTTGTGACTTCCAGCCATGCTCTTGTAACTTCAGGCTAGCCTTCAGGAGTAGGCCTAAGTGGAGACATATTGAATGCATATACTTAGCAGATGGAATATTTTAACTGCTCTTTACCAGTAATCTTTTATTATCAGATATGCTAGTTAATCAACTGCTTTAACAAAGCAGAAACAGTGCATTTATCATGGTAGCTTTACCTTACTTATTGCTGTTATCCAGTTTACCAACTCAGCTGCTTTGGCTTGTACTGTCAGATATAAATTTCCAAGAAAAGGAATGCCAGCTAAAATATCTAGAAACAGTACTGTCTTCTGGATTCATTCCTTCCTTTTCTGAAATGCTCTCTTTTCTGATAGGAACGCTTGTTTATTTGTGGAAATTCTCTCAATTGTGAGAATTTTACTTTGAAATTGTAATGTTGAATGATGACAGACTTGGCTATTTGTGCAAGCTGGATCTAGGTTATGCAAACTGAAATATTCAGTGGGTCAAAGGTCTTGTCATTGGTTGAATGAGAAGTTCCTGGCATGCATTTGGCATTGATAACACAGCCAACCTACATACAGGGAATATGATATTCTATAAATAACATACAGCATTTCACTTTCTCAGGAAAACAGTGATTAAAAAAGATATGATCACAGTGGAGCTCTTTACCTTTTTTCCACCCCAAGTATAGTAAAGGCGAGTGAGAATCTAGAAATTGGAAGCTAAATATCCTAGCTTATACATTGTGCTTTCAAATAACATTGACATGTAAAGAGGTGGAGGATTCTGGAGTGACTGGATACTGTCATTTTTTTTTAATACTTATGTGCCACTTAGGAGATATGGCAGACAACCTGATTATTCCTTTTAGCAGGCTGCATGTTGTCACATTGTCTACTCTTGTGGTGCTGGAAAGATGAGAAAGAAGTTTGGTTTAATGCTGTGGATAACGGGCATTCATTAAAAATTACAACGTGGCAGGCTCTAAACCTGATCCTGCTCTAGTACAAGTCAATTAGAGCAGGATCAAAAAGCTATTCCATTTACATGTTCATTACTGCAGGAACAGATCTGAAGAAAAGAAATCATGAGCCTGTTGGGCCTGTGTGAATATTTCTGCTTGTCATTAATTGGTAATTATTTTTTAGGCTATTCATGGTACACCTAAGCTTTTCCTGTACGAATGACGCATTTTACTAATGACATTTTAGTTTATTAATGTGATCAGAGAAGTCAGCCCATGTCAGGGAATTAATTATTAACTTGCAGACAGTCTCGTTTGGGGCTTCGGAATACGGTTGTCAAATGAATTAATGAAGAAAATAAATTTGTCAGCCTCTGTCTGGGAAGTTGTTTTTATCCCATTTGTCTGTGTTGTTTTTTTTTTCAGATCAGGGTGACTGTTTGGACACAACTAGTCCACAGCACACCTCCATGTGAGAGCTGTCTAAATGTTTAAAAATAAGACAACCAATTTTTCTGATTTAATTTCACCTGTCATTCTCCAGTGAATATAACAGAAGATCCCACTGTTTAGAAATTTTAAAATACACGCTGACAAAACCAATGGTGTGTATGACAAAATGCTGTGTCAAAAGGTGTTCATGATTGCCCGTGTTGATGATGGAACAAAACACCTCACCTATGAAAACAGGCTGAGAGAGCCTGGGGCTGTTCAGCCTGGAGAAGACAAGGCTGCAAAATGATCTGATAGCTGCCTTTCAGTGTCTAAAGGGAAGTTACAGGAAAGAAGGGAACAGACTCCTTAGCAGGGTCTGTGGCAACAGAACAAGGGGAAATGGCTTCAAGCTCAGGGAGGGTAGATTTAGGTTAGACATAAGGAAAAAATCTTTTACAGTGAGGTGGTGAGGCACTGGCACAGGTTGCCCGGTGTTGTGGTAGATGCCCTGTCCCTGGAGACTTTCAAGGCAAGGCTGCATCAGGCCCTGGACAGCCTGATCTAGCTCTGATGTTCTTGCTCACTGCAGGGGAGTTGGACTAGATGGCCTTCAGATGTGCCTTCTGACTCTAGAGATTCTATGATAACATGCAATTGAATGGTATAAAAGGCCCTCAGGTGTACAAAGCTTAACAGCACTTGAAGCAATTTGTGGGATTGAAATACAGCTGCTTCTGGGAGGAAGAGCACAATTAGATAAATGAATTTGCTACTTCACTGGGGTACCTCTGTCTAAACTGCAGTAATTTTATGAGTTAAACCAGTGAAGATGTGTTTGATAGCTGCTTCAACTAACAAATGCTGTGCATTTTGAACAGGTTAGCAATGGTCCGTAGTGGAAAAAATGGTGGACTCCACCTGAAACAGATTGCATACTACAAAAGAACGGGGGAGTACCATCCCACAACGCTATCAAGTGAAAGAAGTGGAATCAGAAGAGCAGCCAAAAAATTTGTTTTCAAAGGTAAACATGTTTTTTTTTTAAACTAGTCTGAGAAATTGATTTTTAGGTGAAGATTTACTGATACAAACACTGAGAGTGATATCCTGCTGTGCAGCATGCACTGTGATCTTAATATACATCCTCCATGAATAAACAGCCTGCCTGTCCCTTGTTAATATATAACAGAATGTTTACAGAAACTCAGTCTCCTTTAGTTTTTGCTCAAAAGTTTTATATATCTGTTTGAAAGCCAAACATTAATTTAGATACTGGGAAACTTTCTTCTGCAACCCCTCGTTCATAGGACAACAGTAGAAGTCCTGCTCTGTGGCTGTTGACAAGGAAGGTTTGGGTTGGTTGGAGCATTTTGTGTGTGACTGGACAGCAGGACTTTGCTCTGTCATCTTACAGCCTCCTGACCCACCCTAGTTTTGTTGTATCCCTGGGAAGACGTAGTGAGCCTTTGCATCTGCCCTGTGCTCTCAGTCACATCAAATCCACCCAGCTTTTTTAGAGAGAAGACAGAAAGGAGTTAAAGCAACAGATCACAATGTGTGGTTGCTTAACAAGCACTCAATACATTTCATGATACTGCCTGCGTCCCTTTCACACCCCCAGCACTATCTTGTGTTAATGTTGGAGATCTGTGGGAACAGTTTGCATTCCGACCTGCCTTTTAATACCTCATGTCCAGATAGATAAATGTTGGTGAACAATTGGTTCTTAGGAGAAAATAATGAGAGTCTTTTTAAATCAAACAAATCAGAGGAAAAAAAAAAAAAAAGAAAAGAAAAGAAAGAGAAAAAAGAACCCAGAACAAATCTGCTTTCACACAAAGGCAAAATGAAGTTGATTTAATAAATTCAGTACTGAATCATTCCCAGTAGTTCAGCAAACTGACCAACTACAGAAGGCAATATTCTTGCTTGTAACTTGTTGGTATTTTTCTCTTTCCAGAAAATAAGTTGTTCTACATTGGAAAAGACAGAAAACAAATGCGCCTAGTAATTGTCTCAGATGAAGAAAAAAAAAAGGTGCTTCAGAAATGCCATGAAAATGCTGCAGGCGCTCATCATGGCATATCAAGGACACTGACTTTAGTGGAATCTAATTACTACTGGACCTCTGTTACAAATGATGTCAAACAGTGGGTATGGTCACATAGCTACAGGATACTTTTTAAAAATGTAGCCTTTGTTGCAAACATTTCATAACTAAATGACTTTGATACAGAAGTCATCATTGCTTAATGATGAGGTAACAGAAGCTTACAATCAAACTTTAAGTAGCTTTTGTGTCAAAGAACAGTGCTACCTTGTTTTTTTTCAACTCAACTGTGTAGCTTGCACATAGCCTTATGTTAGCTACTGGTAGGAAGACATTTCTTTCAGTATACTGGGCATTTCTCTGGCAAGCCCTCTTACGTATCTTTGTTAGGCTGCAGCATACCATCCCCTAAGTGTATAGCTGGTAGATGAGAATGGACCTCTGCCTTGCAACTTAATGTGTTGGGGAAGCAGTTAAACAAATCACTACTTTGGTACATTCCTTCTCCTCCTTCACCCAAAGATACATTGATATAATCCCTAGGTAGAAGCTGATCTTTGAGCAAACTGTATGTAAATATTGTTCCTTGTGACCAAATTATTGCTGCTATCAGCTTGCTGCATCACCTGAGTACTTAGTGCAACTGTAACATGAACCGAAAATGAGTCTTTGTTTTCACTCAAACCGGGAAAATGAGTTCTGTCCCATAGATAAAGCTGATGTGTGTTGTATGTGGCAGATTTTGCTCACTGCCATTGCTTACTGGCTGCAGCATTTGCAACAGAAGCAAAAGGAAAATGATTGAAATTGTTTTATTTCAAGCTTGGATGCTTCATGCTTCCTTTAGTATTTACTGATGGTGATGAAATTTGAATTTGATATTATACACCTGAGCTAGCACAGTGCTTACGGGATGAGGGGAGTTCAGCCCTGAACTGCTGCACACACTCTTCCCCTGGATTTCACTATGGTTTTGTTTGGTTTTATTTTTTCATGCTAGGGCTGGAAAACCTAAGGATAACAAATCATAAGAAAGATGATAAAATGAATTTGATGTGATGTGATCTGACCTGACTTACAGAGGAATAGTAGAGATTTATGATATTTCATTGTTGTAAACCTTCGGCATCACTTTTTACTGACAGGATTTTCCCTTGCTTCTTCACTAGGTGTATGCGTGTCAACATTGCCAAGTGGCAAAGAGTACAACCACCACCACACTCAAGCCATACCCTATCAAAGCAGAAGACCCCTGGACAGCGGTAACTGTAGCCTTAATGGGTCCATTTAGAGCTACCAAAAGAAGCCACAAGTATGTCATAATCATGATAGATTTGTTTACAAAATGGACTGTTATCTTGCCTCTGCATGATACTTCAGCAGCTGAAATTGCTAAGGCAATCATCACTGTGTTTTTCTTATATGGACCACCTCAAAAAATGCCTATTGACCAAGGGAAGGAGCTTGTTCATCAGGTAAGTCTTTACATAGATTATTTGTTTTTTCAAGAAAAATACATTTTTCTCCTCAGTAAATTTGCATTTTAGGCCATTAGTGAGGAGAAAAAAAAAGGTAAATCTTGAATGCTTATTCTCTTTATTCTCTTCTTTTTTTCCAGAGCTGTTTTACTTGGGTAAAGAGCAAAGCAAAATTACTTTTTAATAGTCTTACTGCATATTTTGTCATTTAGTTGGACTGGCACAATATTTTACACACCAACATTCCACTGTACTTCATCTATCCAGTATTTCATATTGCCCAGTATAGCAGATAGAGCAATGTCAAAATACCCCTAGATCTAGCGATCTTGCAGAACTTTGTCTGATCCTCACAGAAATTGTGAAATCATGAGGCTTTGATATGAAGAAAATAATAAACTGAGTTAGTGGCAGAAGTACATTTAGAAACCGTTGATTACTGTATGCTAAACCATACTGATTCCTTTAGCACTCACTCCTAGGTCTGGACTGTTGTGTAGGAGAAGGTTGCTTCAAAAGTAGTGTCTGATCTATTTCCATGGGAATGACAACAGTACCGTGAGCAGTCTCTTTGATAGAGCTCTTATTTCCCAGAACAACTTCTCAACTACAAAACTCTCCTTTTCAGCATAGCACCATTAACTACACTATGAACACGAACCTGCTCATCAAGATCTGCGCTAATAGAAGTGACCCACTGTTGCCACTGCTGAAACACACCACTTCACTGTGCTTACATCCACTGTTGGGTCACCATAAACATTCAGCAAGTGTTGATGAATGTCAGTGGGTGCCATTTTTTTTTCCCCCTACATGATGGAATTCAATGACACATCTTTGCTTTATATGCCCACACTTCCATGTCAGGCACCATTTTATCAGACTGCTGCAGTCTGCTGCAGTCTGTCACATGTCAACAAAATGTAGTGGAATATTGGTAGAAAGGTCCAACATCTTCTGCCATACCACCAACAACCACTGTAAATCAATGTAATAAAATAGGAGGCATTACTTTCAGAACAGTCTTTATATAGAAGACTTTTGCTGAGTCCCCACCTCAACAACAAAATACACAGAAATTTACTGAGTATGTTTACATTAACTGCATGGTACTTAAAATGGAAAATTCCAATAATTGTCCTATTTTTCTCTCTAAGATAAACAAAGAACTTTTTGCACTGTTTGGAATGAAACAAATAGTACTGTCTTATCCTCAAACCGATGAAGTAAGTGAAAGAACATGCAAGACAGTCAAAGCTTTCCTTAACAAATACTGCATAGATCATCCGAACGACTGGGATGAACATTTGTCTGCTATTGCCTATGCTTTCAATTTGACTAATTTGGTAAGTAAGTGTTCTTCCTCTTTTGACTGAAGTCCCACAAAATATTTGCAAAAACCACATTCTAAATTGGCTTTCTTTTTGCCTCCCAAATAAATAGGATCCAGATCAAAACACCCCATATTTCCAAATGTTTAGTCGTAACCCGTATGTTGTTGAACCAATGAACATATGTGTGGAAGGAGAAGACAACATGTTTGCAAAGATATTTGAAGCAACTAGAGGAGCCAGTCGAGCACTTGAAAAAGAGAGAACCTTAGATGGCCAGGTACATGTTTTAATTTCAAACTTTACTAGGAAGGAGACTGAGACAAGAAACACAAGATGGAGAGATTTAAGTTTGAAATAAAACCAATCTTTAAAGCAATGCATTTTTTTTTCTTTTTCCTTCAGCTTGTAATCCCTGGGGTCCAGCGTATGTATGCTTATGTGTAAGAAAAGAAATATGTTTCCAGAAGATTTGTGCTTGACTTCCAGGGCTGCATACTCGTGGAAACTGAAAATCATTTCCTATGGACTATTGATTTAGGACATGAAGATAAAATACATTTCTTCAGAACACTCCAGTTCTACACATTATGACATCTAAAGATACTTAATGTTGAACTTCTGCATTATTAACTAATGTTATGAAAATACTTGATTATTTCTGGATAAAGAAAATGTAATTCATGTAAATGTCTATTGCAGGTGGAGAAAACCACTTCAGATGAACAGAAGCCTAGAAATAAAATCAATGTCAAAAGAAAGCCCAAGCAATTAAATACCCTTCAACTTAAAGTTGGTCATGAAGTCCTCAGACAAAGAAAAAATTGGTGGAAAGATGGTCGTTTCCAGTCAGAATGGGTTGGTCCTTGTATTATAGATTATATCACAGAAAATGGCTGCGCAATATTAAGAGATGCCACAGGATCCAGATTGAAAAGACCCATCAAAATGTCTCACCTCAAGCCATACATAAGAGGGTCCAATGAAAAAGGTGTGTGTGTATTTTTTATATATGTATATTTATATATTGTTAACTTTTCCTGCCATGTGTGGGTGTTAGGTAAGGTTATCACAATGAAAAAGTAACGGATACCAGGGTGAATGGAACCAATACTAGCTAGTGGAGAAATCACTGCAGTTGTTATTAATGAGAACAGCATGTGTTAATAACTTCAAACCTATGCAGAGTGTGGAGCAAAGTTAATGAATCATATTTGAAGTCTTAAAAAAAAAAAAAAAAAAGAATTCAATTGTGATTGCTTCTAAAATGTGGTTTGGCCCTGTTCATGCTGACTGACAGAAATATTCTAGAAGTATAATTAGGCTGAACTGTATTCATAAAGCATCGTCTGACTGTGTTCTTGTTTTTGATACAGACAGGATCCACATTAATTTTCTTTGTGCAATGGAAACATTTGTTTGTTTGTTTGTGCTTAGTCTGACTGATGCAGATGGTACATGTTTAGACGAAAAAGCCTGTCCTCTAAAGCCTTGAACTACAAAAACTACATCAAAAACTTGACTTGTGGAGAGTTTGTTTTAAACTGCATTCATGAAGAGGTAAATTCCTTAAAACTTAGGTAACTAGCTGCCATTGTTTCTCTTGCACATCCTATACAGAACCCTTTTACAGTGGTTCTGTATTAATCAAACAACAGCAGCCACTTATGTTCTGCTGATGCTGTCTGTGGGTCACTTCAGGCAACTGTAGGAAAAGGAATTCCCAGCATTTGGGAGACTTCTGTCACAGAACTGTTGTTCAGGATTCTTGAAAAGAAAAGTGGAGGGATTTCCACCTCTTCTGCATGTGTGGTTGAGCACTAGTTCTTTAAAGTGCATCAGTTATGTTGAGATGGCCATCACTTCCATCACTAAAACTGAGGGTTACAAAGCTGAAAGTTATTCTGGATTTTCACAGGAGCTGGTATCAAGGCTGTTTGTCAGCCTCTGCTACAGCTTGTTTCACGAGGACTGCAGTGTCACATAGGTTGTCTCAGATGTCGCTGTTGCTGTAGGATCATGACTCTGTGGCTTCCAGCTCTTGTCTGAGCTGCTGAGCTGAGATACAAAGTCACATGCCTGGTCTGCAAAGCAATTCCTGTGCAGCTGCTGCAGCAGCTTGGGTAAACTGTATCTCAGTCTGGAAGTGAAGTGCAGTAGTCTTTGTAGGGTGAGTCTGGCAGGTTCACCAACAAACGTTGCAAAAGCAGAAAGTAAAGGGAGGATTTCTTCCCTTTCCCAGGGAGTAACTGAAGACTTGTTATCTGACACAGGTTGGGGAGGGTGGGGGGGGGGGGAAATCAGTGGGTTATGAATATGTATGAATTCTAAAATTACATTTTTATATTCATACATATTTACACTGCGGAGAGAAGTAAACTGGGTTTGTCTGAAGTAATAGACAGCCTTTAGTAAATGGCCTAACAGAAGCCAGGAAAGGAAGCTTTGCTTCATTACAATAATGGTAGTTAAACTGGCAGTGAATTACAGCTTTTTCATCCTTAAAGACAAAACTATCTTTATTTTAACAAAGGACTGTTCTTTGTTAGCAACTAACTTACTGTTCCTCTGGTTCTGGTGTGTCAGGCTGATAGCTGTCCCTTTGCATAACCTTGAGAGGGGACAAAGTATTTGCAGCTGTCTCTCTGAAATGAATGTGGGAAAGTGCATCTTAGGTGAGGTGTCTGTGACCTGTTAGTGCTACTAAAGATTTTGCTTACAGTGCAGATTTTTAGAGCAGGTTTTCTTCTGTGTATTGCACTAGAAGTATGGGTCTGAACTTTTTTAGCAGGAAGGACAAAGGCTGAAAATTAAGTGCTTATTTTTTTTACATGATTTTAAAGTTGTATGCAGTTAAGAAAGTAGAAGCAAGGCATTTTTCTAACCTTTTGTAACACTCTTGGTCTAAAGATAAATCTGGAGTTAGTGCACTGGTATATACTCTTGGCAGAAGCATTATAAATTAGAAGTCTATGCAAACCTGGGTTGCTTGCTACCAGGTATTTGAATGGTCTGGCAGAGGTTGCAGAGCACCCTGTGTACACATGCATTCATGCAATTTTTTTCATGCATTAATGTGGTTTAGTTTAAATACTAAACTCAGGAGAATTCTTGCAGTTCCAATGCTCAAGTGATTCAAGAATGTACATAGACAGATTGAGGACACATCTGTTGAGAATTGTAACTCGTGAATGAATTCATAGCCCCTAGAAAACTTATTTTCCCAATAGAGTCCTTATCTGAGCAAGAAGATGGGCCGTAATGCCATATTCCAGGAGAAAAGTATAAATCTCATGCTGACGAGCATTTAATTTGGCATTTAATTTTATTTTGTCTCCCTTGGAAAACTCAAACACAGTAATATATAGAAAAGTTCAGTAGTGCTATATAGTACTAATCAATGCTGTTGTCATAAAATTCTATAGAACTGTTTTAATTTTATTTTAATTCTATTTTATTTCTCCTTCTCCTC